TCTGCATCTTTTAGTGAACTTTATACAAACTATGAAATTAAAAGGTTTAGACCAAACCTGCCTTCCAGAAGAATAAATGATGCATCATTTTTTGTCGAAACAATAAACTCCCATAAAGACACTAGAGATGTTGTTTTAAATTTAGATCAGGCTTTTGCCAATTTAAAAACCATGTCTTATGGCACGATAATATCCTTTCAAGGAAAGTTACACAACAAAAAGTTAGTCAGGCCTAATAGTTCAAGGACCCAGTCGACAAACGTTGCTGGATTTGGAACACCCGGTAATATTACATTAATGATTAATTTTGTACTTTTACATCAACTGCATAATTTAGGCCTAGACACTCATGTATTGGAATTTAATTGTAAAGATGGGCAACAATTTATTCTGTACTTGAATAATTGGGAAAGAAATGCGAAGCCGTTAGGCTTAATACCGGAAATGGAAATATTAGTTAGAGATGTTGCTGTTCAAAGCAACCGTTATTACAAATCGACTGTATTTACTGATTTTGAAGTAAAAGACTATGGCCGAAACGTAATATTGAACTCAGTTCACTTGTAAGAAAATGCTATTTATGTTATATTATATATCTGTTTTAACTAATTGTTAGGGACCCACAGGAAAACATGCCTTCTAGAAAAATAAATGATGCATCATTTTTTGTTGAAACAATAAACTCCCTTAAAGACAGTAGAGATGTTGTTTTAAATTCAGATCAGGCTACTGCCAATTTAAAAGAAGAAAAGTCTCATTCTGAAGGCATAAGCGCCAGCAAAGAAAACAGTTCTAATTCCAAAAACAGAAAAACTGATTGTGGTTCAGGCACAAGATTTGCAGAGGTGTTAGATATGCTGCAGTCCATCAGTTCTAGCAAAGTTAGAAGAAAAGAAAAAAATTCAACACCTTTGAATTCTGAAAACTATAATAGTCATGAGTTAAAAGCCAAATCTTATGGCACGATAATACCCTTTCAAGAAAAGTTACATAACAAAAAATTAGTCAGGCCTAATAGTTCAACGACCCAGTCGGCAAACATTGCTGGATTTAGAACATCCAGTAATATTACTTTAATGATTAGTTTTGTACTTTTACACCAACTGCATATTTTAGGCCTATTCACTCATGTATTGGTATTTAATTGTAAAGATGAGCAAGAATTTAATGTGTACTTAAATTACTGGGACAGAAATTCGGATCCGTTAAGCTTAATACCGGAAATAAAAACATTAGTCAGAGATGTTGCTGTTCAAAGCAACCGTTATTACAAATCGACTGCATTAACTGATTTTGAAGTAAAAGTCGATGGCCGAAACATAATATTGATCCCGGTTAACTTGTAAGAAAACGCTATTTATGTTATATTACATATATCTATTTTAATTAATTATTGTTAGGCCCCCACAGGAAAACATAAAGATAGGAATTGACAGGCCTACTTTTCTTGGATATGGACATAAGCTGCCCGAAAGGATTACAATTTTCGCCAGATTTTCTGAAATTGAAATACGCTCGCTACGAATTAAGATTTCGTGTTCAAACTGTTTAACGATTTATTGTTCTTGTGGAAATGCCGACATTACAGTAAATCTAATGTAATTATTTTTAATTCTTTTAAATTTATATTTGTACAATATTTTTTACTTAAGGTGCTTCGTTTTTGACGGATTCGGAAAAGCAGTTCTGATTGCTAATGATTTAGAATTTCTGAGGTTGGTTCTACATATTTCACAGTATAGTTGGAATAGTTGGTGTAAAGGTTTTAAGCTGTATGGTCCTTTCAATTATAATGGACAGTGTTCTCCAGAAGAAACGGTCAGTTACATTTTTAAATTTCCCGTTAAAAGTAATCACGAGTTTTTAAATATTTTACAGGGTGTTCATGACAGGGACATGTTTGCAAAAAAATTGTATACATTGATAACTATCATTAATCGTGGTGTAACGAATTCATATTCAATAAATGTGAAGTGTAGGAAAATCGTGAGAAAGCATGATCCTCAGCATGAATATTTGCCAATGTTTTATTGCTTGAAAGCAAGAAGAAGTTCCAGACATCAATAGATATTTTTTTTTATTTTTACATAATTACTTAAGTTTATTTTGACAAGTTTCTTTATTAACAGGCGAATTATATGACCGAATTAGGTTTTTTCTTTGAAATAAATATTTCTTCGATCTTGTGAATGGTCTTATTAATACTTCAGAAATTACGAACTTGCAGAACCGTTTCCGAATAGTTCGCACAGAATGATCCCCGACCATGTGTAAATATTTCTTTGGCTTACCTATGCAATCCTAAGCAATATGCATGTATGTTGGGTTGCATATATTACATTTATTTAGTTTATTAATCTATACTTTTTATTCCGTAAAAATTGAAGTATTACAAATTTTAATTATGTGGTTACATATAAGGAAAGAATAGTGATTTTTAACGGTTGATTATATGATTTTCAAAAGGAGGGTAATAAGTACTGAAAACATAAATATCCTTNGAAAAGAATATATATTTTTTTTTTCAAAACCATGGTAATTTATTTTTGGTAAAAACTAATTTGCTTATTAATATTTCTGCATCTTTTAGTGAACTTTATACAAACTATGAAATTAAAAGGTTTAGACCAAACCTGCCTTCCAGAAGAATAAATGATGCATCATTTTTTGTCGAAACAATAAACTCCCATAAAGACACTAGAGATGTTGTTTTAAATTTAGATCAGGCTTTTGCCAATTTAAAAACCATGTCTTATGGCACGATAATATCCTTTCAAGGAAAGTTACACAACAAAAAGTTAGTCAGGCCTAATAGTTCAAGGACCCAGTCGACAAACGTTGCTGGATTTGGAACACCCGGTAATATTACATTAATGATTAATTTTGTACTTTTACATCAACTGCATAATTTAGGCCTAGACACTCATGTATTGGAATTTAATTGTAAAGATGGGCAACAATTTATTCTGTACTTGAATAATTGGGAAAGAAATGCGAAGCCGTTAGGCTTAATACCGGAAATGGAAATATTAGTTAGAGATGTTGCTGTTCAAAGCAACCGTTATTACAAATCGACTGTATTTACTGATTTTGAAGTAAAAGACTATGGCCGAAACGTAATATTGAACTCAGTTCACTTGTAAGAAAATGCTATTTATGTTATATTATATATCTGTTTTAACTAATTGTTAGGGACCCACAGGAAAACATGCCTTCTAGAAAAATAAATGATGCATCATTTTTTGTTGAAACAATAAACTCCCTTAAAGACAGTAGAGATGTTGTTTTAAATTCAGATCAGGCTACTGCCAATTTAAAAGAAGAAAAGTCTCATTCTGAAGGCATAAGCGCCAGCAAAGAAAACAGTTCTAATTCCAAAAACAGAAAAACTGATTGTGGTTCAGGCACAAGATTTGCAGAGGTGTTAGATATGCTGCAGTCCATCAGTTCTAGCAAAGTTAGAAGAAAAGAAAAAAATTCAACACCTTTGAATTCTGAAAACTATAATAGTCATGAGTTAAAAGCCAAATCTTATGGCACGATAATACCCTTTCAAGAAAAGTTACATAACAAAAAATTAGTCAGGCCTAATAGTTCAACGACCCAGTCGGCAAACATTGCTGGATTTAGAACATCCAGTAATATTACTTTAATGATTAGTTTTGTACTTTTACACCAACTGCATATTTTAGGCCTATTCACTCATGTATTGGTATTTAATTGTAAAGATGAGCAAGAATTTAATGTGTACTTAAATTACTGGGACAGAAATTCGGATCCGTTAAGCTTAATACCGGAAATAAAAACATTAGTCAGAGATGTTGCTGTTCAAAGCAACCGTTATTACAAATCGACTGCATTAACTGATTTTGAAGTAAAAGTCGATGGCCGAAACATAATATTGATCCCGGTTAACTTGTAAGAAAACGCTATTTATGTTATATTACATATATCTATTTTAATTAATTATTGTTAGGCCCCCACAGGAAAACATAAAGATAGGAATTGACAGGCCTACTTTTCTTGGATATGGACATAAGCTGCCCGAAAGGATTACAATTTTCGCCAGATTTTCTGAAATTGAAATACGCTCGCTACGAATTAAGATTTCGTGTTCAAACTGTTTAACGATTTATTGTTCTTGTGGAAATGCCGACATTACAGTAAATCTAATGTAATTATTTTTAATTCTTTTAAATTTATATTTGTACAATATTTTTTACTTAAGGTGCTTCGTTTTTGACGGATTCGGAAAAGCAGTTCTGATTGCTAATGATTTAGAATTTCTGAGGTTGGTTCTACATATTTCACAGTATAGTTGGAATAGTTGGTGTAAAGGTTTTAAGCTGTATGGTCCTTTCAATTATAATGGACAGTGTTCTCCAGAAGAAACGGTCAGTTACATTTTTAAATTTCCCGTTAAAAGTAATCACGAGTTTTTAAATATTTTACAGGGTGTTCATGACAGGGACATGTTTGCAAAAAAATTGTATACATTGATAACTATCATTAATCGTGGTGTAACGAATTCATATTCAATAAATGTGAAGTGTAGGAAAATCGTGAGAAAGCATGATCCTCAGCATGAATATTTGCCAATGTTTTATTGCTTGAAAGCAAGAAGAAGTTCCAGACATCAATAGATATTTTTTTTTATTTTTACATAATTACTTAAGTTTATTTTGACAAGTTTCTTTATTAACAGGCGAATTATATGACCGAATTAGGTTTTTTCTTTGAAATAAATATTTCTTCGATCTTGTGAATGGTCTTATTAATACTTCAGAAATTACGAACTTGCAGAACCGTTTCCGAATAGTTCGCACAGAATGATCCCCGACCATGTGTAAATATTTCTTTGGCTTACCTATGCAATCCTAAGCAATATGCATGTATGTTGGGTTGCATATATTACATTTATTTAGTTTATTAATCTATACTTTTTATTCCGTAAAAATTGAAGTATTACAAATTTTAATTATGTGGTTACATATAAGGAAAGAATAGTGATTTTTAACGGTTGATTATATGATTTTCAAAAGGAGGGTAATAAGTACTGAAAACATAAATATCCTTTTGTTGTTTGAATATCAACATCCAATGTCAGTTGAGTACTTGACCTTTTCATTGGTTTTATTTATAGTATGCCGGAGTATTTAATACCTAAACAATTGCTTATTGATAAGAAACGTGCAGTGTTATTTGGTGTAATGGATGGCCCATGGTAGGGCCCATGGTTTTCTCGTATCTATATGCTTTCATCAATGACCATAGATAAGGGATAAATAATACTTATTACGCCACTCCGCTTCATATATCTATTATCTATGTTTGACGCATGTTTGACGTTAGATTTGACATTGTAGATGAAACAGCTGGCTGCTGTGAACTCGTGAATTCTTTTACAATAAATTGTATATGTATTCTTAATATTTAAATCATTTGAAAAAATTATGGAAGAGAAAGACGAAATGTACGATTTGATATGTCACTATCAAAAAAATTTAGTAAGATGTGCCGAAAAAAATAACGAAGAAAAAGTATGTACCCTTATGAATTGTATTTCTGACTTGATTAATAACAACTAATTTATCGTTTTAGATGTTATATTACATTAACAAATTAAAAAGGCTCCCAATGACGGTTTCTTATCTTCAACAAACAGGTGTAGGTAAAACAGTTAACAGTGTTANAAACACACTATGTATAAAACAAACCCTTCTGCTTTATTAAACAATCTCTCTATATCCCACAGCTTGTATTTCCAAAACAGCGCAAGTACTTTAAGTCCAGATATACCTCTGATACGCCACCTAACTTTTACAGTGAAATCTTCAGGGTGCTGCGTTATTTTAAGTACTTCGAATTTAACATATGCAAATTTTAGGTGACCAACTGTTCTTAATAATGCAATTTGCTTCACATAATTATAAAGTCCTCTGAAATAAATGTAAATATTATATTTAGATATTCGCATAGTCAATTAAATATAAAGATTAAAGTTACACTGTTTTCCTGCCAGTTATGTTGTTTTCAAATATCATATTTTCATGGTAGATATTATAATCCATGGTTTGAATGAATAATTTTGGTAAATTATCAGATAAAGTTAAAAAAACCCGTCGTAATTTTTCTGGATCCTTTTTGTCAGAACTGTCTGCATTATCCTTTGCTAACACTCTATCACTTTTGGTTTGTGTACTTAAATGGAATCTGTTAAAAATATACAATAGTAAAAATTTTATTGTTTTAAAGGTAAGATACAGGTTTACCGAGAACTCCTCAAATTATTTGAATAATTTATGCAATTATAGGAGGGCAGATAAAGTTGGTGTATAACATCACTTAATGATTCTTTACTATCACAAGTAATACTCTTATCAGAAAGTGTTTTACAGTGCTGTTGGCACGAAACCTTCATTTTAGCAACAACTCTCGACTGATGCTACAAATAATTCACATATAATAACAACACACACAAAAGTAATGCAGTTGCAATGAATTGTCGATTAATTGTAATTTTCATATTATTTATATACTTATATATAATTAATAATAATGTATTTCACCTGAATACTGCCATTTAATTTATATCCAGTTATTAAAGTTTTGACGCTGCCTTGGTTTAATACAGAGCTGAACTTAAATATTTTAATTATTGAATGATTTAAAGAAAGCGCCATAATATACTTATTTTATAAGCACGATCGAATTAAAATAACTTATTTTAATTAATTGATTATCCGCACTGATTCTCATTCACACTTTAATCATATTTGTAATATTTAAGGTTAAGTTCGCTACATTATCTATGGTTTGCTACCGTGCTACACAGACTATAGACTTATACCATAGACAAAGTTCGTTATCATGAAATGATCTGAAGTTCGCTAAGTTCATAGATATGGCTAGGATAATATGAACCGTAGACAGTGTGCAGATCATAGAGTGAGTCGTGTGACTGGCACCCGATATAAATAACCTTGAGATTTAAACCTTACCAATAAATTGTGCGTCGTTTGCGAGTTCTAAATATATAAATATCATAATTATGCGCCCATTAGTTCTCTTAAAAAAATGGAAAACTGTTTCGGGTGCAGGTGGAAATTAAATGTCAATTTATTCAAAAACTACTGAAGATATGATAATTTAATTGATGCCAATTAATTGCGTGTCATTTGGGTTAGAAGAGTGATCTAATATTGAAAACGGAAGTTATCTTTATAACATTTATTAGTAATAATTGCATATAATACACAGACAAATGTTGCTATTTTTCATTGATATTACCAATATACATGCGTCATTGGTGAATCATAGATAATAAAATAATCATAGTAATGCCATTGAAAAGATTAGTATTATTTGTAGTCATCACTAATAAATAATATAAAAATAAACTCCGCTTGCCATAATGGCTCAATCTTCAGGAACAAATGACACGCAAACAATTGTCGTCAATTAAATTATCATATGTTCAGTAGTTTTTGAATAAATTGACATTTAATTTCCACTTGCACCCGAAACAGTTTTCGTTTTTTTAACAGTACTAATGAACGCACAGTTATGATACTTACATATTTAGAACCCGCAAATGATGCACAATTTATTGGTAAAGTTCGAATTAGTGAATTATTTATATCGGGTGACTGTTTCACATGACTGACGTAACGTTGTCATTTCTCCTCTATGGTAATGATCCCAATAAAAAAGAAGTGGTATTATAATAAATAAAAGAGTGCGTTCAAAGTAGAAATTGAAGCCTGTGGTAAATATATTATTAAAAAATAAAAAAAAGATTCAATCAACAGGAGACTGATTCTAGATATTTAAAACGGTTTAAAATCAGTCTCGCGTTAATAATGCTCACATTAAGAAGTGCCGGAACACGTTTCTTCAGCTACCAACCTTATAGTGGTAATTTGAGTGAGTTTCTCTTTTATTTCTTATTAAATGTTTGGTCATTTTTTACATTAGTTGACATTGGAATTGAGACATGAAGTTTAGTCAGGTAGGTAGTACTCACTAAGTAGAATCGTGTGGTAGCATTA